TCATCAGTGGACCACTCCCAGCAAGAGGAACAAACAGGTTTTCACGGTTGCTTGGGCTCAACACATGGCTGCAAAAAACCTGCAATATAAAAGGAGTGAACTTTATTGACAACTTCAATCTTTTCTGGAGTCAGAGGCAACTGTTTCAACGGGATGGCCATCACCCAAACAAACTTGGTTCAAGAGTACTAAAGGACAATATCTACTTCTCCCTCCATCATCCTTCTGCAGTGTGTGCCAATCCATTCAACCTGAATGGCACTCACACACCTGGACACAGTATGAACGACCACAGGACTTCACTTCAACACCTAAATGGACATATTGCTGACACATCACACAAGGACAATGATAACACCACTCAGCCACAACAACAACCTCTGCTCACGGATACAATCTCAGCAGAGCTCTGCCCACAGAGCTCACCACAGACAGACTGTGACATATCAGAACTGCTCCCAGATTCAGCACCCAAGGACGACTTTCTGGAAAACAACGAGGGAAACCAGGACAGCATTTTACACCCTCCAATAACACCAGAGCAACAGCCCATCTCACCTGACACGGTATCACTCTCTCCAGCATCTCCACTTCTGTGCTTCTCAGAGAAAATGGAACAACTGGTGTCTGCTGGAACCAAACTATCACACTCTTTTGCTGCAAGCCCCCAGATACCAACCAAAAAACGGCAGGCCCCAAAACCACCAAAGCTTTCGGACCCAGCTCGCCCTCCCCCTCCCCCTCCCCCTCCTCGGAGAGCTCTTCGGCCTCTGCCACAGCGCCAGGGCCCACACTCTCCCCCATCGGCTCGAGGTAAACCAAAAACAACTGATATCAGCTCTAAGTGAAATATTTCGGTTCCTCGCTATGAAAACAATAACTTTATAAAATGTTTACAGAACAAGCGGGAACCCAGTGTGCCTGAATCTTTCTCTATTGCTGTTCATTTACATGATAGAAAATCTAAGGCCTTCAACAGCCGTACAGCAAACCCATCTAATCTGGTGCCCATTACACGCCAAACTAAGACTGCTGTGAGGACAAAAAGTAAGACTATAAAGTTAGCACTTTTAAACATCCGCTCCATTAAAAATAAATCACTTCTAGTCAATGACTTAATAACCACACACAACCTGGACTTCATGTTTCTAACTGAAACTTGGCTAGAAGAAAGCTGTAGTGCAACGGTCCTAAACGAAACATCCCCTCCAAATTTTACTTATATGAGTGTCTGCAGAGCGGCCCACATGGAAAGAAACTATATGAGGATATATGCGCATATATGAAACCTATATGCAGTTTATATGCACATATATGCTGCATATATACAGCATATATGCACATATATGATAATATATATGCTGCATATGTGTGTATATATGACACATATAGGCAATTTTAGGTGCATATATGCACATACATGATAAGATATATGCTGCATATGTGTGTATATGACACATATAGGCAATTTTAGGTGCATATATGTGCATATACAGGCCATACTGTAGGTCTCCTGCATTGCTTCTTTATATCCACACATAAGTGCTATATGCAAGAGTATCCTATACTGTAGCTCATGGCAGGATCTGGTCATTTGTAGCTCATCCACTCTAAACAATGCTGGGTTGTTTGAACCCAAATTTGGGTGAAATATGGACAAACCCAAATGTTTGGTTAAAAATGTAATTTCAAATTTTAACCCAAATTCAACTTTCACTTTCACTTTTTCAACTGTACATTTTTTTAATTGCATTTTTAACCCAACATTTGGGTTTGTCCATGTTTGACCCAAAGCATTTTTAGAGTGTATATGTCACTATATTGCTCAAATAAATAAATAAATATTTATATACATATCAGAATGACTTAGTGGAAAAGAAGGAAATGTATAACAAAAGGGTTTGTTGTTTTTTCATTTTACCAAAAAGCCCTTTTTCCAATTTCAAGTCACTTTCCCATACACATCCACACATTCACCGATACATCCACCAAATGCAATGCAAATTGCAATGTTTTCTGTATTGTCTGAATGCAGTTTTTTTTTCTGGCTGAAAGGTCATTACAGTCAAAAAAAAAAAAAAAAAAAGTTAATAGAACGTACATTCAAATAATAATCATCATCCCACCATCCCACCATCTATCTGAGCAATTCACAGTGGTTAATAAATTCGAATGCTGCTGCACTGCCGATTGGCCGCTACAGCGCCCCGTAGTTGATGACGTCACCCGCCTAACGCTTGACGTTATCCGTATCCGATGAGATGAAGTCAAGTTTCGCGCCGGAAGATAACGGCTGGGAGTAAAAATTGCGATTTCAGCATTGGAGATCCTCTAAGTCCTACTTATCACCAATCGTAAGTATTCCTAATTTTATATTTATTTGCAGGGTGGAAATTGCGGTGGCAGAGAAGTATAAACTTAGCATTTATTTTTTGCCAAACACACCTGTTTCAGCCCATACACTTCCTATGTTGTTAGCTGGTGAGGTAACGTAACGTTACTGTGGGTGCTAAAATAACTTAGCCGTTGATAAGATTCAATTTAGAATTAACGTGTATTTATTTGTTTTCTGGAGGAATTCGTAGAGGGTTAACAAAAGTCATGGCCTAGAGAACATAACGTCATGAGAATAAATGATACTTCTCTGCCAACGGCTCAAGAAGGCAATCGGCTCCAGAAAAAAAAAAATACCTGTGGAGTTTGAATTTGGTCGAAATTGGTGAAAGAAAGAGCCGTATCAATGGGCTTGCCTTTACAGTTGCAGGAAATGTCTTTCAAATAGTAAACATTAACGTTAGGGCATTACTATTTTGATTAAGTGATTGTAATTGTTTTTTTTTTTTTCTTTATATAACCTCTTTCTAGAATTACCTCAAATGAAAAGTTACCTCGCCATTATTGCTCAAAAAGGTAAGTTCCTCTGATTTTGCTTTTTAAAATTGTTTCTCTAGCAGAGCTGTAGAGACTTGTGATGTTGGGCTGATTGATAGTGTTAATTATTTGATTTAAGTTATTTGCACATTAATTTATTGAAGAGAATAACTTTTATTTTTCTTCTATGAACAAGACTGGAAGGAGTCCTGTTGAGGATTTAGATTCCTCCTCTTTTGAAAAGTGCAACCGGTGAGTAACCCCATTGAATTTGTATTTATTTATTAATAAATATCCCCATCCCCACCCCGACACCCTATCCTCCTCCTCCTCTCCTTTAAGAACATTTAGGGCAATTATTAATTTGTTTCATATTATTATTTTGTGTAATATTATTATTTTGTTTCTTTATCATTAATCTGCATTCATACATAAAAACATATAAACTATTGGGAAGCTAAGCATAAGAATCAATATGAAACAATGCCAATAAATGAATAAATTATTTTTCAGATTGAAGTTATAAAGGGCTCTGGGGTGTTTTGCCAGGCAGAAGTGTGGGAAGCAGCCCTCCTTGCCACCTCTGCTACTGCCATGGTGTGGAATCTGCTGCTGGGCACATTTGATCTGGAGACTTTGCTGAAAAACAACCTGAATGGTACAAAACATTCTCCTAATCTCTTCTGTCCGTAAAAAACAATTAATATTCTGTGGAATAAATTATGTTTGTGTGCGGGCATACCATCGCTTTTTTACTTGCCATTTTTGTATTTCCTTGCACCTCAAGAAAATGTGATGTGTATATAAAAAAAGTATTGCTTTCACAAGCTTCATTTTAACCCCCTTTTATAATAATTTTGAAATTTTACTTTAAGGTGGGAAGCCAACCAGAGGGGATGGGGAGCAGCTGGTCGCCCTTGACCAAATTAAAAAGGCATCATTATTGGTGAGTAAATGTATAAAAGTTTTGTTTTCCCTTCTCAACGCATTAGGATTTTATAAGTTCACCACTTTAACCATAGCCTACTTGTATCAATGTTTATTAGGCATCAATTGAGACTGTATAAGGGATTATTGTTACTATATCTACTTGGAACCTATAATACTAATTCATCACTTGCTCAGTTCTTGATCCTAACTTTCCTTTTCTTAAGCCACGTTTCAGATTTTTCAGAATCTTCAGAATCTTCCAATTGACATGTTTACATGACGCATTTTTTAAAATGATCAACCTTTTATCAAAAAATATGTGTCCGATCACATCTGTACTGTAAGCACTTTGGGTTCCTGATGAAGTACTATATTCTTCTTCTTCTTCTTCTTCTTATTATTATTATTATTATAGTGTCTTATTATTTTTGTCTTCTCTAGATGCTACATTGAAGAAGTGGCCGTCAGTCAGCCGAGGGGAGATGGGCACGTCTATCAATTCAAAGCTCATGGAGCTGAGAAGATCAAAAAGATTTTTTTTCTATCCAGTTTTTTTGTCTTATTTTTGTTTTTGTACTATTTGATCTTAAGTAAATAAATAATCTAAATGCATACATTTTGGACTATTATTTATGTTGCCTAGTAGCTATGGATTTTAATAATTATTCTAATATAGGTAAACATGTTGGTGCATGTATAAATGCACCTATATGTGCACATATATGCGTACATACATGTACATATATAGGTACATGTATGCATGTATATATGCACCTATATGTGTACATATATGCATGCATACATGTACATATATAGGTTCATATATGCACCTATATGTGTACATGTATGCACCTATATGTGTACATATATGTGTGCATACATGTACCTATATAGGTGCGTATATATGTGTACATATATGCACGTATATATGTACATATATGTGCATATATGTACATATAATATAGGAAAACGGCCAATTTTATATATGTCACATATATTAAAAACATATATCAAAACCTATATTAAAACATATATGTTTATATAGGTTTTTTCCATGTGGGGGGTAAGAGAGGTGGCGGCTTAGCTGCTCTTTTTAAAGATGTTTATCAATGTAAGCAAATATCATTTGGGAATTACCCCTCTTTCGAATATCTGGGTATTGTGTTAAAAGGTGCTCCACGTATTTTACTTATCATAGTTTACAGGCCTCCAAAATACTCTCCAGCCTTTGCTGAGGATTTTACTGAATTGCTATCAACAATTGCCTCTGAGTTTGACTGTTTTGCCATTGCTGGAGATTTCAACATTCACATAGATAACGCAGAAAACAATATGGCAAAAGATATTAAAACTGTTTTAAAAACTTTTGATCTGACACAGCATGTACACGGTCCCACACACAATCGTGGACACACTCTAGATTTACTTATCAGTACGGGTTTAAACATCTCATCGATTGTTATTAAGGATGTAGCACTGTCTGACCATTTCTGTATTTTCTTTGATATATTAATCTCTCCTGCCGTTGAAGCTAGAGCTGTGTCTGTCAAGAAGAGATGCTTAAATGAAAACACTGGTGTGCTATTTATGAAGGCTATAGCTTTAAAACCAAGCATATCTGCTGACTCTGTTGATTTTCTCCTTGATTCTTTTAACTCAAAAGTTAAGAGTGTAATTGATGATATTGCTCCTGTTAAAGTCAGGAAGAATAGTGGCAGACAAAAGCACCTTGGAGAAACTCAACAGCTGTGCAAAATATGAAAAGACAATGCAGAAGAGCAGAGCGCATGTGGCGAAAGACAAAACTTGTAGTCCATTATAACATCTACAAAGACAGCATCCACGCTTTCAATAGGGAACTAGGGAAAGCCAGACAGACTTTCTTCTCAAATATTGTAAACAGCAATATAAACAACACACGCACTCTTTTTGCTACTGTAGAGAGACTGACAAACCCCCCAAGCCAGATTCCCATAGAAATGCTCTCAGACAGCAAGTGCAGTGAGTTTGCTTCTTTCTTTTCTGAGAAAATCAATAACACCAGAAAGGTGATCAGCACATCCTTGAGTTGCTCTGGGGTCAGGCAGATCAGACCACAACCTGAGAAAGTAGTTACTATGTCTGATTTCGAAGAAACTGATGACACAATTTTGGTAGAAACCATACAGCACCTTAAAACATCTATCTGCGCCCTTGACACATTTCCCATATCTTTTTTTCAAAAATATGTTACACAGCTTAGAAGCAGATCTCCTAGAAGTGGTAAATGCCTCACTTCGCTCTGGGAGTTTTCCGAACTCCCTGAAAACGTCTCGGTTACGGATGTAACCCTCGTTCCCTGAGTAGGGAACGGAGACGTTACGTCAGGAGTGACGGAGAATGGGGGTTTCGCATAGAAAGCCAATCCTCTTTGAGTATTTAACAATGAGCCAATGGCATGAAAATGCCTTGGGGCTGCAGAATTTGCATAGCGTACCTCCGCCCCACCCCATGGGTATAAAAGGAGGAAGTGAACGCAACCGCAGTATGTCTTCGCTGAGGAGCCAAGACTGAACTCGGCGTCTACCCAGCGATACAGCAGAAGTGGCAAGGAGACGTAACCTTTCGTAGTCACTCCGAGTTACGTCAGGAGTGACGGAGAATGGGGGTCTATGCCATCACGCCATCTTCATAGCTGTCTTCCAGTGCCCTGCGAAAGTCTGGACTCCTTCTTACTTAACTTACACAGGAGATACCTACTTTGACACAGGAATACCAAGGTACACTGGGAAACATATCCCGGGAGGTAGTGTTGTCACGGTACCAAAATTTCAGTATTCGGTACCGATACCAGTGAAAATCCACGGTTCTCGGTACCAATTTCGGTACCAAACCAAAGTTTAATTTAGACTCAATTTAAAGAAAAAAAATCCATGGTTCTCGTTACCAAAGCAAAACACAAAAACATGCTAGTTGAACAACTCACTATTTTTTATTAATAAAGGTAAACAATGCCATTCTTTATACTTATTTAAAATTCTGTTTCAAGTTTTTATACAAGTAATAAAAAAAAAAAATTACACACCTAAAAAAACAAAAATTCGCCATGACTGAATAAACACGCTTCTTATTTATAAACTTAAACATTTTTATAAATGAAACAAAATATGCCGTGGCTGAACAACACTTTATAAACAAAAATATTTTCAAAAAGCAAAAAACAATGGCATAATTTAAGTATTTCAAGCCAAGGATTGTAAACATTTGAGTTATTAAATAACTAGATACAAGTTTCTAATCTATGCTTAAAGTTTCACCCAAAACAATACTGGCCTACATTTACAGTTATTTCTTAATTTACTTTCTTTGCCATTTCCAGATTTTCTGAAAGAAAGACTAACATGTCAACATGTTCCTGACTCAGTCTTGAGCGTCTTGGGCTAACAATAAAGCCTGCACTACTGAAAACTCTTTCAGATGAACAGCTTGATGCAGCAATGCATAGATACTTCCTGGCAAACTGTGATAGTTGAGGTAGTGTACCCATATTTGTTTTCCACCAGGAAAGTGGATCATCCTCAGCACTGATCTCAGGCATCTGACTGTACACCAAGAATTCACCATTTAACTCGTCACTTGCAGAAAGATTTGCTTGACTTGAGCATGTTGGCTCTCCTTTTTCTTTCTTTTCCCCTTGTATGGAGGAAAGCAGATGCTTCAGATCATTTTTGGATTTTTTTGATGGCCTGACTTCTTGACTTGACTCTCCTCCCGACACCCGAGATGCACTTTCTGCATTGCCCATTTTCCTCACCTCATCCAGGAGACTTTGCTTCACATCATCACCCTTAAGAGAAACAAAGCTGTTTTTAAATCTTGGATCAAGGTAAGTTGCAGTGTTCAAAAGAAACTGCAGCTGCAGGTCATCATAGCGATGCTTAAGATACTCGTGTATCTTTTCCTTCATCTCTTGGGCTAATGCAGAGTCACTTTGTTTATGACTAAGACACTCAAATATCTTCCAGAGTAATGGCAAGACTGAGGACAGGGTGGTATGTTTTTCCCCACTAAGTGCATCAGTAAAAGGACTGAGTGGCTCAAGAACGGCTTTAACAGTTTCTAAAACTGTAATGTCTGAGTCTTTTGGCATCAGATACCATTTTTTCCTGTCTTCAGCCAGGACTGCACAGACAACCTGCTGCTGCTCCAAGAAACGTTCCACCATATCATATGAAGAATTCCAGCGAGTGGGTTCATCATGAATGAGTTTGTGGTCTGGAGAGGACAGATCTTTCTGTTTTTTGGCCAGCTGGCGTGAAAGTTTTGGTGATCTTGTGAACGCAGAAATTGTTTTTCGAAGCCTTGACAGCGCTGCGGACACCCTGTTTATTTCTATTGCCTTATTCACAGCAAGGTGGAGATTGTGTCCAAAACAAGGAATCCAGGTGTAATCCTCAAAGGCTTTTTTGTTATTTGTGGCATTGTCTGTTGTGATGCCTGACATTCTTGCAATGTCCAACTTCCAGTCTTCAAGTTTTTCTTCAAAGGCCTCCTTCAAACTTTCAGCGGTGTGATCAGTGTTGAGACCACAACATCCAAGACACCAGGATTGCAATTCCCATGATTTAGTAATGTACTGCAGAGTTACAGACATGAAAGTGTCAGCCGTTCTACTTGTCCAAAGATCAGTTGTGCAACTGTAAAATGGTTTCTCTCCGAGATGCTGCATTATGAGGTCTCTGGTGTCATTGTAGATGCGTGGAATCTCAGTGTACATGAAAAAGTTTCGACTTGGAAGCTGGTATTTTGGGTTGAAGTGATGAAGCAGCTGCTGGAATCCACATTTTTGAACAGTATAAATGGGGACTTTATCCATACATATGAATTCAGCAACAGCTCGGTTTAGCTTTCTTGCCTCAGGTGAGTTTTTGTCATATTTCTGCTGCCGCTGAAAAGCTTCTGTAACTGTTGGCTGTTTTAAAGTTTGCTGGGGTGTTTCATGATCTTCCTCACCCTGCATCTGTAAAAGGAACATATGATATAAGTCTGTCTGATGACCAAATGCAACATTAGGTCATTGACACCAGCTAAAATATAACGTTTCTGTAAATAACAAACCTCAGTTTTATAATAAATCTACATAAGATTACAAAATGTATAATTTCTAAATGTTCTAATACATTTTTAAAATTAAAAGTTTTATCTGTTAACAGTTTAATGCACAATGAATAAACATGAAAGATCAAGTGTTTGTGTTTTTATTAAATAACATTCACAAACATTAATGTTGATACATAAATAGTTCATTCACTGTAAGTTGATGTTAGATAATGCATTATATTAGCATGATGTTAGCCTAATGTCAGTGAATGGTACTATATTGTGAACAAAGTGTTGCCAAACTATACAGGAGAAGATAAAACCTTTTTATTTGAATTCACTTTTTTATTTAATCAAAGTCAAACTCTATTCATATTTTTTTTATTTTTTTTTATTTTAAACCTGCTTGTTATCCAGCCAAGAATAAGCCTAGAACTGCCTTTTTGACAGATCATATGTTTTGCATACAGGTCATTTAAAAAACCTTTGGTGTGTCATTTTAAAAAAACAAACCTTCATGTCCTACGTTTTTTTATACCATAATAAAATGTATAGTATTAAATAGTTAATTAAGAAGGTTAATTCTAACACTCAGTATATTTGCGTTAGCTGCACCATGTAACATTATGCTAACGAGTTACACGGCTAACATTGTTTATTTCAATCCGACATTAAAATAATAAAAAAAAATGGTATATAACTCAAAAGAGAGGCTCTAAATGTGAAATTAATTGGAAACGTACCTGCTTGAACTCTTTCATCAGATCCGGGTGTCGGTCTTTGAGGTGTTTTATTAGGTTTGATGTGTTTCCTGCTTTTGAGAGAAAACTTCGATGACATCGTTTGCAAATTGGTTTTTGAGGATCTATGATGTTCCCCTCGTCATCAGCCGCGAATCCGAAATGTTTCCACACATGGCTTTTCCCTCCTTTCTTATCAACAAGTGCCGTCACCACGGCAGCGCCGCCGGTCGCCATCTCTCAGCGCTTTCATAAAGAAGAGGACGCAACTTCACGCGCTTAGAGCGTGCATGCGCGAACTTTGACCAGGTACTCGGTACCACCGATACGTGGTACCGAGACGTTTTTTTTTTTTTAGTACCGACTTGGTACCGAAGTACCGAAAATTTTGACAACACTACCGGGAGGGACATGCTACCAAATGCCTACTGTAGGGAGGACTTAGGAATACACATATGGCCGTGTTAGGGACTAGATATGGAGATCACTGGAGCACCAACCTGCTTAGGGTGGCTAGAGACTTAACTCCAGGAGTGGCAGATGGCTTGCCAAGGGAAGACACATGCTCAGAGTGGCTTACAGTGGATAATACACATGAGACAGTTACCATAGGGAACCTTGCACATGGAGGCACCTAGCCGGCATCCAGAGCAAAAGCAGTGGTGCCCGCATCGTAAGTGCTGGAGGACTCAAGGCTTCAACGGAAGACTACTGAGGAGATATCGCACTTATCCAGTCCGAGGAGTGGAATGGCAAGCAAGCGAAGACACCTAAGCGGGTCCAGTACTGGCGGAAGCGAGTACGCGAGAGGACACCGGCTCTCTTCGCAGATTATAGAATCTTGCGAAGGTGTTTGGTGTCGCCCAGCCTGCAGCTCTGCCAATGTCTGTCAGCGAGGCGCCATGCGCTAAAGCCCAAGAGGAAGCCATACTCTGAGTGGAGTGGGCCGTCACACCAAGGGGGCACGGTCGACCTTGCTGTTGGTAAGCCAAAGCAATGGCGTCCACTATCCAGTGAGACAGCCGTTGCTTCGAGAGAGCCCTTCCCTTCTGGCTCCCCCCATAACAGACAAAGAGCTGGTCTGAGGTCCTGAAACACCGCGTTCTGTCAACGTAGGCGCGGAGCACACGTACTGGACAGAGCAGTGCCAAGGCTGGGTCTGCCTCCTCCAGGGGCAGCGCTTGCAGGTTCAACACCTGGTCCCGGAAGGGAGAGATAGGAACTTTGGGCACATGTCTAGGCCGGGGTCTCAAGAACACGTGAGAGTAACCCGGCCTGAACTCCAGGCACGCTTCGTCAACGGAGAATGCGTGCAGGTCCCTTACCCTCTTGATGGAGGCCAATGCAACCAGGAGTGCTGTCTACATAGGACAGGACTAAAAACTCTACCGATTGCAAAGGCTCCAGGGGATAGGTCCCAGAGGGCACGAGGGGAGGGTGAGGCGGATTTAGCCTCCTTGCTCCCCTTTAGGAACCTGATGACCAGGACATGCTTTCCCATAGACTTACCTTTCAATGCATAATGAGACGCGGCAATGGCCGCGACGTAAACCTTAAGGGTGGAGGGCGACAGCTTACGCTCCAACCCCGCTTGCAGGAAGGAAAGCACGACACCGATCGAACATCTCCGGGGGTCTTCTCACGGGAAGAGCACCAGTTGACGAAGAGGTTCCACTTCGACGCGTGGAGGTGTCACGTGGACGACGCTCTAGCGGAAGTGATGGTTGCCGCCACCGCAGGTGGGAGCGAACTCAAACCTGCCTCATCCCGTCCAGGAGCCACAGGTGTAGGCTCCAGAGCTCGGGACGAGGATGCCACAGGATGCCCTGTCTCTGAGAGTGTCCTCAGAGGAAAGGCCAAGGAGGTGCTGTCGCAAGGAGCATGAGTTCGGAGAACCACGTCTTGGTGGGCCAATAAGGGGCAACCAGCAAGACCTGCTCCTCGTCCTCCTTGATCTTGCACAACAAGATCTGCGCCAATGCGTCTGTGCCAAGCGTGCCCTTGGACAGGGAAGTGACAACCGAAGTGAGCGTAGACCACCCTGGTGGTTGGTATACGCTACCGTAGCGGTATTGTCAGAACGGACAAGTACGTGTTGACCCCTGAGCAGTGCTCGAAAGCGGTGCAGGGCCAGGCGTACTGCCAACAGCTCGAGGCAATTGATGTGCATGAGGCGCTGGGGTCCTGTCCAGGAACCCGCGGCTGCATGCCCATTGCACATGGCACCCCAACCCGTTGTAGAGGCATCCGTGGAGACAACGACATGCCTGGAAACTCGCAGCAGAGGGACTCCGGCCCGTAAAAAGCTTAGGTTCGACCACGGGAAGAAGATCTGGCGTCACTGGAACTCGGCGCGAGCCGCGATGCCATGCCCACCTCGGGACTCGATCGCGAAGCCACAGCTGAAGCGGTCTCAAATGAAGCAATCCGAACGGCGTTGCCACGGCTGCGGATGCCATATGCCCCAGGAGCCTCTGAAAAAGTTTCAGTGGGACTGCACTCTTGCCCTCGAACTGTCGAAGACAAGTCAGCAGTGAGTGCGCGCGCTCATTCGTGAGCTGCGCGGACATTGCGACCGAGTCTATCTCCATGCCGAGAAAAGAGATCCTCTGCACGGGGCAAAGTTTGCTCTTCTCCCGGTTGACCCGAAGGCCCAGACGAGCTAGGTGCTGGAGCACCAGGTCTCTGTGTTCGCAAACCTGCTCTCGAGAGTGTGCCAGTATCAGCAAATCATCGAGATAGTTCAGGATGCGAACCCCGTGTTCGCAAAGCGGAACAAGGGCTGCCTCGACGATCTTCATGAAGACGCGAGGTGACAGAGCTAACCCGAATGGGAGAACCGTGTACTGATATGCCTGGCCTTCGAAAGCAAACCGAAGAACGATCTGTGTCGAGGCAAAATGGAGACATGAAAGTATGCGTCCTTCAGGTTGATCGCTGCAAACCAATCCTGAGGCCGGACGCATTCGAAAATACGTTTGGCTGTGAGCATCTTCAACAGTAGTCGTTGGAGAGTACGGTTCAAAATGTGCAGATCCAGGATCGTAACCCACCGGTCTTCTTGGGGAAAATTAAGTAGGGGCTGTAAAACCCGGACCTCACCTCGGCTGGAGGGACCGTCTCGATTGCACCCTTCGCCAGCAGGGTCGCAATCTCCGCTCTCATGACCGGGGCATTGCCACCGACCATAGTGGAGTGAACTTCCTTGAAACGGGGAGGAGGCCGTGCGAACTGAATCGCGTAGCCGAATCTGATCGTTCTGATGACCCAGCGGGACAGGCCGGGGAGCTCTAGCCAAGCTCTAGCCAAGAACTGAACCAGCGGGGTCATGTGAACCATAGACGTCCCCCCGGAGGGGCAGCGGGACGGGGAGACCGGCATGCGCCCAGAAGTTACCCCGTGCGGATGCACAGTCGAGCCCCGTTCCCCGACAGAAGAGACCAGGGAAGGACCAGCGTTCCACGGGGGTCTGTTCTGCCGGGGGTCTGGCGATAGAGGGGGAGGGGAGTGGCGTGGTCCAGGGACGACACACCTCCCATCCGCACCCTCAGAGACAGAGAAGAATGAGAGTGGCGAGGCACGGGGCCGTTGCGCACTTTCACCTTGCTCTGTGTGCTCGGAGATGGAATGCAGCTCTTTGAGAAAAGATTCTCCCCCAGCCCTCCACCGGGGGAAGGAGTGGGCCTGACCACTCCCTGAAGAACTGCAAACCATACCCGAGCTGCCCGTAACGGGAGCGTCGCAGCGGGGCTGTGGGGCTGGTACGGGCAGGGGCGCCTCCCTACGACCACCTCACGGCACGGCCTGATGCTGCTGGGGCCGGTGCTGCCGGGAGGGGGCGGAAGTCGCAGGAGGGCGCATTTGGCGGCAAGCGGACTGACGCATCTGAGCCGGCGGCTAGTAGCACCAGAAACCACAGTCCGCTTCTGGGCGGCCGAGAACTGTTGGGCAGCGTTCTCGATCGCGCCGCCGAAGAGGCCAGCCTGGGATTTGGGAAAGTTGAGGAACTGGTTCACTCAACCTCACGCACATCAACCAGGTTAAGCCAAAAGTGTCTGACCACACGCGTGGACATCACCTGACTCAGGGAGCATGCGGTCACCTTCCTCACTCGTAGAGCTCTGAATCAGCCCTCGTAGAGGGCTGAATCAGCCCTACCCTCGTGCATGTCACTGAACACCCATGAGAATGACAATAACATACAGTGAGGTGGTAGTCTGCCCCGCAGCTCTACAGGTCCCTGCCACCGGAGTAGACAAGAACCTTCAGGCCTTGGAGGGGTGCTTAGGGTTGCCACGCCAGGTGGAGGCGCTGTGGGGACACATAAGTGTTGCCACAGAACACTCCATAGGGGGGAACCCCAGTGTACCCTAGACCAGTCATTCCCAAAGTCGGGGTCCCGACCCACACGTGGGTCGCGGGAGATTTTGTCTGGGTCGCCAAGTTGAGCACTATTTTTCAGTGTGTTGTAGGCTACTCTCTAGATATGGGCTATTCAATTGGCGGCCCGCGGGGCAAGTGCGGCCCGCCAATCATCTCCATACGGCCGAGGGCACCCCAACCTCCCTCTCCTCCTATTTTCTGGTGGTGCCGCGCGGCTAAATTTGGTTAGATATGCGCGTGGACGCAGTGGCGCGTGCAGCTGGATGACTATACGCACGCACTGTGTGTGTACCATGAGCACTCCGACTGACCTGAGAGAAAAGTTTACAGTCCGAATATTTCAGCAGTTTTTATGTGTGTCCCGTATTTCTGTCGACTGAACCAGCGATAATAATCATTCGTTGGTTTGATTATTTCCTTTCCATGAATTGGCCATTGGCCAAACGCGCGTGCATAACGGTCTGAAACGATTCGGATTTGTTCACCTGAAGTGGTTTCTCGGTAAGTAAGAACAAATAGAGAACAAAATAGCGCTGGTTTCAGTCGTTTCACTAGTTTACTTTGAACTAGGCAGCACGGCCCAGTGGATAACGGAGCGCAAAGCTTAAAGGAGTTGCGTTTACTCCCGGTCCCGGACACTATTATTAAACAACGTTGCGCGACATCCTTTAAGAAGCGTCGGACACGTACTCCTCTCTCTTACAAACCACACATCACTCAATGATTTTAACTAGTTTTAAATCGGATGAAACAGTCTTAACATTCCCAACACTACTGATGAGAAAAATAGAAGAAACATGAATAAAGTTAGAAGACTAAATGCCCTAATCACCCCCCTTACAAACATTTACCAT